TAACCAGTTACTACCGTATTTCGTAGTCCAAAAAAACGTCCAGAAATAGAAGTTAAAATAATAATACAAGATAAATTACAAAATGGACGTTGACAATTATTTTGTCATGAACGTATATTTCATATGCTCCACCAAACAACTGCGACATCACTTTGAAAAATTTTGTTGCTCCTTCCTGCCCAAAGAATTTTAAAATTGCATTTCTATATGACTGAGCAGTTATAAGCACATTTATTTTAACTTATGCTTTGAGGAACTATTACGTCTTTTGCGCCGAAGGTATTTTAAATCTCTCGTGAACAACAGAAATACCATGTTCGTACTGCAATCAACCGCGAGACGGGTAAAACTACGAAGATTTGCGAAATCTGGGGCAATTATTTCATGGCACAGTCATTTTATAACTATGATGCGCCAGGTGGCATACGCGGTTTGGATAGGAAATGCTACCTGACTCTATTTTAGAAGTGATGCATAAGGAAACAGCAATAAATAAAATTTCATTACAACCGACTGATGCACTTGAAGGGCTTAAGTTTATCGCTGATTTTCACCTTCATAAGTCACCTGATTACCATCTAGATTGGATGTCAGTTAACCATAAGCGAAAACCAAAGAAGTATGAAAGTCACAGCTGAGTACCATTTACAGCAATCGAATCCTGTCGTGAGAAGAGTAACAGATAGGCCCAATATGCAGGTATTACTAATATTTCCATATTCATGACTGCATAAAAGCTTTCTTAAGAATGTTCTTCCGAACCCTATATTCTGCACTTCACATCAGCGCTGCACGAACAGACTTAAGAATTCCTCAGCCAATATCGTGGTACTGTTCTTGAACAGTGTGCCGTTAGTTGTAACACGCGAGAAACTCATTTCTCTCTATTGGCTATTCGGTAAAACGTCAGAATCCCAGTTCAAAAATCACGTGCTTCGACTCAGGCCAGGTGATTTATTTTACTCTTTGAAAGTGCGATAGAGTAATACTACGCAATAGGAAATAGCGTGCCTTGCATTTCCCACGCCTGTAGATATTGCCTTAAAGACACAGCATTCTGAACTGATGGCAGTGCAACAGAGATTAACATCAATAACAGTATTAGCTCCAGAAAAAACTATAAAAATAGCCCGTATCGGAAGCATACGGGAGACATTTCAATAGTCAATCGCAGTCCTTTCATTCTGTTTCTCCGCAGAAATAAAAAACACTGCGAGTTCAGTTTTTCATGTAAACTTCTGCCAACTCGCCTACTGTCTACAGTTTACATTAATTCTGAAGTATATATGATTATCGCTCTGTGCAAAATAACGCCATACAAAATAAGAAGAAAATGTACAACTGTTTAGAAAACTTCACGTCCACATTAATTTAATATTTTGCGAAGGTGCGAATGTACGCTAAACACAGATGTATTGCAGTTAAACATTCACAAAATTCAAATTTACTTGAACTTCCGGCTCGTTGCTACTTTTAAACATTTGCAATATACAGTAATTTAAAGTTTAATGGTACTGAAAATTAAAATCAAAAATACGACTGAAACCACAAACACTTTAACACCTTTAATGAGCACTCAGTTTTTGGTATAAAGTATCCAACATTTTCGAAAAAACGACACATGGAACAGAAATAGGAAGGCAATTCGTGAAATATATCCAAAAACAATTCTTATCTTCCATTTGCAAATTCCAGCCTGAAATTTTCCAATCAACTAAAACGCATGCATTTGCAATAAATTAACAGAAAGCAATAATCTACGGGTCTGCAACCAGAGAAACGTGTGTTTGTTGCCAGAAAAATTCAGTTAAACCTAGAAAAAATTATTAAATCAGCATTTGCAATCGCTATATTACACTCGATTTCGTAAAATTTCTATACTGCAAGTGACTCACTTTGCATTAAAAAGTTGAATCATCGGTCCTAAAATAAAGGAATAGAAGTACTGGAAATATCAAAAGGAAACAACGAGCAGTCAGCAAGATTACAGCTACAGTCTTGGGATGACGAATCAAGTAAGATCGTAAAAACTGGAGACTTGCAATAAAATATCAATTGGGCGTCACTTTGTAATCGACATTTGATGTCATATTAAGGAATTAAAGATTTGCTGGAGTTTTACAAATCTCACAGTGACCAGTTAATGATTACAATTACAATGCTTCTGAATGGCGAACTTTAGCAACGAGCTGAGTAGTCACCCATAAAAAAATTATGGATTAACAGGTATACGCTGGTTGGTAGAAATAACAGATCATTTGTGTCCGCGCAAATGCCGTAAAACAGCTTCGCTCTACTTTTTGTTATCATTTCATCATCTCTCTAAACATAACGTCAGATTTATGATAACCTGACCTGTCATTCGACAATCAAATTTTGCTACTACTTTAACTCTGATACACCACAGTTTCTTACATTTTAACTTGACGATTTTACTGCCGCGAATAATGAACTAGAACTTCAGACCACTGTATCTTGGCCCTTTGCTTATATGTCACAGATGATTGACGGCGCGTTCAAAATCCACACTCAGTTTCTAGAGTTCATTAAAAGTCATTGTGCAGCTATTCCTAAATGCTAAGAATGTTTCAGTTGCAGTTTCACTTATCTGAATCGTACCCTGCTGGTGCCGCTGTAAAAGCATGCCAACGACATTTTCCTTTTTGTAGGTTTTATAAACGCTGCTGTGTACATGATTTCTTTAGATCATTATCGTTCTAATCCACTTAACTCTTGTTTGAACGAATCAAGGGGCACCTAAACAGCTGCATCGAAAGGTACCAAAATCGCCACAGATACAAAAACAAGCAGTTACACTGAAGGCTGCCAGTCTTCAAAATCCGGTTTTGTGGCGGCCACATATTCTTCAATAAGTTGTTGTATTCGCTCGCGGCTGGTGTCCAATTCGTCGTAATCGCGGCCGAGAACGTCGCTGCCAAACTGTTCAAGGAACGCTTTCTTTTTCCTAAGCTTATCGAAACTGTTCAACATCGACTCGAAAGTCTACAAGAAGAAGCGTCATTGATGCTGCCTCAGCAGCAAAACTTAACGGACGTACGGCACTGATGCCGGTGTGATTGGCCAAGAGTAGGCCAGAAACACGATTCGGCCACTGGATGCGCGGAGATCGCTTTGTGACGAAGGCCAGAATCCCATTAGCAGCCCAGGGAATAAACTTTAGCGTGTCCCGGTCCCGAATGCGCAGAAGGCTCGCACGCAGCTACAAATGTACAAAGAGATGAAATCACGGAATCAGTGAGCAGGAATCGTTTTGTCAATTAGAAATTAACGTAATGGCTTATTTCAACCCCATAGATCTTGGTTTGAAGTATGTACCGCCAGTGACTCTTTCACAATAGTACCAGCATAGCAGCTCCAGTAGAATACTGCCGCAGAAAACGGTAACTATTTATAAATGATTATCATTAAAACAGTTGTTTACTGCCGATGCTGCTTTACGCCTGTAAGGGTTCTACTTTCGTGGAAGAGATAGTAGCGATTGGAGGGGTCTCACTAGCGCAGTCATCGGTGTCACAAAGCAAATGCGATAACCTCGTAAAAAACTTTCAGCAATAAGTCACAGACCAGGAAACTTACTCATTTACCAGTAATGACGGGTTAACATTCGCATGAAGTGTTCAGAAGATATCCGAATTCACTAAAGCCTGCGACAACTACCGTCAGAGCATCTATGACGCACTCGGGGTTATAATTAAAATCGACTGATCGATAGGAGTCAACCCTGGAGTGCGGATCGATAGACACTAAAATTACTTAAAATATTTATGCAATTCAGTAGGCAACAAAAATTATTTAGTCAACATTGCCTGTCATTTCTGTTACGGAGTGAAAGCAAGAAACTTGAAATAGACACGCAATAAAGTTAAGTATGTATGTTAATGCAGACTAATGAAACTTTTCAGGTATCAAGCATAGCCTGTTGTACGCGAAAATATTTTAAAGGAATAATCAAATTTTAAAGGAATAATCGAAGGTTGCTGCTTGCAGACGACCTTGTTTTATTAGCATCTTCTGAAACTGATCTCCAGTGCTCCTTAGA